ACGGTTCGTGTTCTTTTAGTGCTCGAATGATAGACCGCGCGGCGATATAATCATTGCGAGTGTCGATCAAGTAGGGTCCATTTAATGTGGGCTGATTGAAAGAGGAAGTTCAATTTAAAAACTGAAAGTTTAATTCAGAACATTTTTTTTAGGCGGTACCTATATTAAGGGGAGAAATGACAAGCAAAGGCAATTATTTAAGTATTTTATGTTAAGTGCAATATTTCCCAAAACAGGTGTTCAGATACAGTCGACTCCCGATAACTCGAACCAAAATCGATTTCCCCTGGATTTCCGTCATACATTCACTGTAATTTTACCCTCGGTAACTCGAACCCTCGATAACTCGAACTCCCGCTAACTCGAACCAATTTTCGTTTCCCCTCCTGGGACAGAGTTGTCTGGAAATTTCCATAGCTCGAGAAAAAAATTTCAAGATAAAAAGTTTCCATTCGTGTCAGTTTTTTGAAGCTTTAAGTCCATTAATTTTTCTACGATTTTCTGAAATTCGTTTTTCACCTTTCACTCCCTAGTCCTAAAAAGGACTACTAAAATTTTTGGTCTTGGAAACAGTAACGGACAGAGGTATCGCAAAATGTTGAGTTTTCAGTAAACTACTAGTAATATAAAAGCATTAAAGACTAATTTTTGGAACAGTAATAAGAAGGAGGTATTAAATTCGCATAGACTAAGGAGCTCTAGAATTACAAAACGGTTAAAAATGTAATAGTGCTTCTTACAAAGCATTTGCAAAGCTTTAAAAAAAATCTAAAAATATATCCTAAAATTATTATAATAGGATTTTTGAGGAGGCCGGCGTATGGTGTGTTGTCAAGCAGCGCCATGTTACTTTCTCTCGCTCCTCACTATATATGCCTACACATAAATGCTCGCAATGTTTAAATACAGGGATTAGCCAACAGCGGCTTAGGCTCTCTTCATATTTTCATATGAGAAATTTCAGTTCCGTTAACCGAGTGAAATTGTTTACGTATAAAGTTATCAAAATACATGAAAATCATATATGAGAACTGCGGGGTGAAGAATCATATGAAAGAAGATCATCGCAGTTGTAGACACAACTTTTGCAGTTGGGAAAAGAAAGCCTTTTGCAGTTGTGTCTATAACTACGATGATCTTAGTTCTTTCATATAATTGTTTATGTATAGTTTGCATCAACGTAGAAAAACTATGATTTATTGCTAGCAGTAGCTCTGAAAGATCCTTGACCATTCGCTGTTTAAAATCAAGAGTTCCCTTTTTATGATAACTTTTATAGCTTACAAAACAGGAAAACACCATTAAACTTCCTTTGTTTCAGCAGAGACGCATGCGGAATAAAAATTAAATCGTTTGACCCAGCAACCGATACTGTCGATCAGCTCCCCTATGTATCTCCATTAGTGATCTTTGCGAAACTAATATCAACCTTCTTTGTTCACGTTCTTAATTGAAAATTTTTTCAAATTCTTCTGAAAGGTAGACGAGCAACAGGGAGAAAAAGGGAGTTAAAAGTGTGAAGCGAAAAAATAACAAGCCATGATATTATCCTAGTGCATCACCTGGCTCGCTGTATTCAGCTTACCGCGTCTGTTCCGATAGTAACAGTGAACCTTTTATCAATCATTCTTTTTATAAAAAAAAAACGCAGTCTTCGCACTCGTGCCATGTACCTATTTATAAGCCTGACCGTAGCTGATATGTTTGTCGGAGGATTTTCTCACTTTTCTCTATTTGTAACCTTACTCTACTTATGCGACATTGTGCAATTTCCGCACTTAACCCTGGAACTGACATTAACAACTGGCTTTCTCTTCGTCTGGTTTCCTCTGACCTCTCTTACAAACATTGCAGTAATTTCATTGGATCAGATGCATGCAACAATTCGTCCCTATTCAGCCCTTAAGCATCGCCTCATTAGAAAGTGAATCTACTGGGTAACAATTGCTGCTCTTGTCTGGGTTTTACCTGCAATGTTTATTATACTAATCCTTAAGAATCGAATGTTTAACCAAATTCCTGTATTTAGCACATCTAGTGGACCTTCAGTCCGCTTCATGTGGTAGCCTGGGGCAGCCAACGACTGGTTTCTGTGAAATAGCTCTTCGAAGAAGCACGTATAATCTAGAGATTTCTATAGCTCGAAAAAAGTTAAAAATTCATGGATGAATGTATCATTCATCTCAGTTTTTCGAAGTTTTCAGTTCATTAACTTCTCTGATTGAAGTTGGGAATGGGATTTTCACTTTTCACTTGTCTTCCCATATTTGGTCATCATTCGCAAAAAAGGACTACTTATAATAAATTTTGGGCTTTAAAATCAGTAACGGAAAGATGTACATCGGAAAATGTTGAGTTTTTTCTGTATATTTAATAGCATCAAAGATTTTTGAAAAAGTAAAGCGCTAATAAATTCGCATCGGCTGAAGAAGCCCAAGGATGACCAAACAGATACAAATTTTCCTAGAACGCATTTGTAGAGCTGCTTTTTAAAACAACAATCTTAAAGATATCCTTAAATGGTTTTTTGAGTAAATTTTGGAGAGAGGCGGCGTCGGATATGGTGGGAGGGTTGTAGAGCGATGTTTCTCTCCTCCTCACTATACTATATACTTACCTAAAAATACTTGCAATGGAAAATGTTAAAATACAAGGATTGTCCGAGCTAAGCCGCGACTTAAGGCCCTCTTCAGTCATATTTTCATGAGAAATTTCAGCTCCTTTAACCGAGTGAAATTGTTCACGAAGAGTATGCATGAAACATTTAATTTTTTTCCGGTCTTACAATGGACATTTGATTGTCTTAGAAGGGTTAACTGAAATGATATCATGATATGATATCTAGCCGGATTTTTGAAAACGTTATCGTCAAATGGACCTTTTCCGTCCAACAGTTTTTTTCGGCCAAAAACTGTATCCAAGTAGCTCATTATAAAAACTAAGAGTGCAACCATTGCTTTTTTTTCTTCTCATCCTTTCCTGATCTCCTCGCTCTTTCTTTTTCTCCTTTCCTTTTCCTTCGTTACTGTGATTTTGGAGCCGTTCTCGGGCTTAAGAAAGCTGCCTTTTGACGCCTTTTCAGTCAAATGACTGCAAATTTCGTTAGGTTGGTTTTCAGTCCAAAAATCGGTTAGATATATTCAAGAGAGGATAAAGGGGACAGAGAACTGCATCCCCCATACACACCCTATTCCATAGGTAATTCGTCTCGAGTTATTTTTAAGACCATAGATCCCAAGTGGGATTAGACAACAGCCAATCACATAGCGCGAATGTGTTCCGCGTGGATGACCCACGCTCAGAGTCACGCGTCCTTCACGAATTGACGCAGAAAAAAATGGCGGAAGACGCGGAGAGCGATATTGCTAATTGTGTTATCGACGAAAACGACTAAAGAGAGATTTCTGCTAAAGCTGTGTCAGCGAAAATTAAAAAAATTAAAACGGAAATTAAAAAAGAATCGCCCTTCCTCTCTTGTATAAAGCTAACAGTACAGCAGGGAAATCCTTAACACACTGAATATTCTCTCAGGATTATTTATAATTTACAGTTTGAAGAGAGCAATTTCTGGTTTGATATTTATTCTTTTATTAGTCTTTTATTATTCAACAAAAAATAACACTTGGCGTCCTACTTGCTTTATTATACAAACGACCGGTTTCAACAGACCGGCGAAATTTCTCACTTTATTAAAGCACTGAGGTTGCGACAACTTCCAGTTAAACTGATTTCACGGGTCGTCAAAGAGTCTAGCGTTTCCCTTTTCCCAAGTGAGCGCCGACTCATTTCGTTTCAATATTCAGTAATGCTCTCGATCTCTTTACGCTTTCATTGCCTTTCGCCCGACATGTTTTGCACGGCGTTTAGTCATGCGAAACCTCCACGAAACACCCACGCAGCGCGCGAGGTAACTTTATCGCGATTCTAAAAATAGCTCGAGACGAATTACCTATGGAATAGGGTGTGTATTGGGGATGCTTTCTCTGTCTGCTTTATCCTCTCTTGATATACTATAATATATTTTATCAGCGGATGTAGAGCCATTTTCTTTGGAAATGCTGTAAATAAACCGCCACCATTATGATAATGCTAATTACTATTATTTATGCCGATACCCTAAAAGTTAGTTCGGGAGCTCTCATTGAAGTCACGCTATTGTTCCGCTACAGTACCACAGACAGAGAAGCCACTCGAGTGTTGGCATTATTTGGCCACTTGTCTGAGTGGCAGTTTAATTGATTATAAAACAGACGCATTAGTTCACAACAATAATACTAAATAATCTATATTATTTTTAGCAAAGGTGGGGCAAGAAATTCGCCCAATGAATGAACTAAGTGATAGACGCATAGAAGATCTCCCGACTCGTGGCAAAGTGGGATGGGGGGGAGGGAAAAAAAAATTCTTTCCGCAGAGATGTAATCGCCGTGATGGTGAAAGTAAGAGGGGACGAACGCGGGAATGCATGCTCCTTTACACGAACACTCCCTCAGGGCGATAGAAATGATTGTCTCTTGAAAGAGAGGTTAGATTGATGTGAGTCGGAAGACCAACCATGTAGACCACAAAGGCATATTGTATCGACATAAATAACATTATGCCCTAACATAATGTTTGGTTTTATACTCAGGTGAACTAGCGCTAAGTAGACGTTACTAGTTTTAAAAACATTCAGCTGAAACGAAATTTAATGCCCTCAACTTTTAGTCAACCAATTTATCCTAATCTCCCTTCAAACGTCACTAATATTTTTCCACAGGTGAAAACAAGGGTTTTCACTTCAGCTTTTGCAAAGGCAATTCGAAAAACTGTAAGTTAAAGGTGAGCTTCCTAATCCGTCGAATTATTATTCATTTATCTTCATTACTGTTTGTTCACCTTCTACTTTTCGTTTCTAAGTAATCAAACTTTATTCAATTCAAATTCTTTCTAAAGGTAGACGAACAACAAAAGAGAACGGGTGAAAGTGTGAAGCGAAAAAGAGTAAAAGAAAACAAGTCATGCCATTATCTTCATCCGAGTGCATCACCTGGTTTGCTGTAACCCTTACCGTGTGTTTGGCCATAGTAACAGTGAACCTTCTATCAATCATTCTTTTCATAAAAAACCGCAGTCTTCGCACTCGTGCCATGTACCTAGTTATAAGCCTGACCATAGCTGATATGTTTGTCGGAGGATTTTCTCACCTTTATCCATTTCGACTCCTCTCACTTTTCTCATGCGACATTGTGAATATGAACTTAAGCCAGGAACTGAATGCGATAATTCGCATTCTCTTCTCCTGGTTTCCTGTGACCTCTCTAACAAACATTGCAGTCATTTCATTAGATCGGATGCATGCAACAATTCGTCCCTTCAGGCATCGCCTCATCAAAAAGTGGGTCTACGGGGTAACAATTGCTGGTGTCTTGGTTTTAGCTGCAATGGTAGCAACTGCAACTTTAATACTTCGGCAATATGGGAAGGAATTTTGGTATCATATTTACTTCTGGAATTCATACTCTTGTTTGTGTCTTTTAGTTATCTGTGTTTCTTACTCTTCCATTGTTGTTAAATTTTTGTGTGGAGGGCATCCCCAGCACCATGGTGCAGACAACAGACAAAGGAAACTGACCGTAACATTATTCATAATGACTATCGTATCCTCACTAATGTGGCTACCACATGCGGTTTATGCTTTTATTCTATTTCAATCTTTGACTAGTACCATGGAATTCCTTTCGGCTTCCCAGGAATTAGTAAGTTTGGTGTTTTCTTTATCCATTCTATCTTTGATGAACTCGCTTGTTAATCCCATCGTTTACACAATCAGAATGCCAGAGTTTAGGAAAGCTCTCCTGCTGTTATTTAAACGTCAACGAAGACAAAATGCTCGAGATATTCCTCTTCATGCGCTTTAATGTACTTTGTTTAACACTTGGAAGCCAACTAATGATTCAGCTTCATAAAAAAACAGTAGTTGATTGTATACTATTATTGCCGCCTTTAAAGTTCGATAAAAAGGCCGTAAATAAATGTTGTGGTGCAATTTCATTTTCCTTGGTTGAAATGCGTTTTTCCTTTGTTTTAAACTCTGATTCTCGATCGTACATAACTATACCGCAACACAAAGGAAAACACAATCTAAACCATTGATGAGTTGAACCACAGTATTTCGTCAAATACTACAACTAAATATAGAGCCGGTTAGTAGTCTCGCTTATCTTTTCATTACGTTTAGTATGTTTCCAAAAATATGAAAAGATATCCTTGACATTTCCTTGTTTAGAGTTAGTCATTATGATTGTGGTCGCAAAACATGAAATTAATATCCATTATGTACATTAAGCGCAGAAGTTGTTTAGTTCTTAATTTATTATTTCACAACGCGATATCTACTTTAATAATGCGACTTGATTTGATTGTAAAATAACGCTGTTAGTAAAATCAGCATTTTAAAGAGACGTCAATAAAGTTGCTATTTATATAGACAGGATTTCTTTATGTTCTTATCTGTGTCTGGAATATTACAAGGAATGGGCCGGAAAAACGCTGAAATGGGAAAAGCACACTTCAGTGTTGTAAAGATGGGAAAAGTCAGAAGATTGTTAAAAGTGTCTTTTTTTTTTTCACGCCAATTTTAGGAGAAGATTATAAGAATGTTGTTTTTCCTCGTTGTGTGGTTAAGGACATTTGTGTACAGCTTGCCAGATACATTCAAGACTCTTTCTGCCACTATTGTTGAACATTTCCGGGTCTTTTTTAGGAGATGATATATAGCCAAATCTGGGAAGGGAAGTCAATTGAAAAACTTTGAAAATCATAGATGAATGAAGAGTCATCAAAACTATTTCGCCTTTCTCGAGAAATAGAAATTTGTAAACAAGAGTTTTGCTTCTTCAAACATATATTTTACATCAGAAAACTTTCCCCTGATAAATGAGGATGGATACCTATCAAATAGTCTGGATTGAAATATTGTCGTCATTTTAAACTAAATCCAGTAAATCCATCTTGTCAGTTCGTGTCCTTAAACTGCGCCATGAATTCTTGGTGAAAGGTTCTTAGTCGCTCAAACATTGAAGCAAACGTCTCTTCAGAAGGAAGAATAGTGATCCTACCAAGAAAGATTAAAACATGAAAGCGTTTTAAGTTATTAGTCCTTCATATGGATAGTGGGTCTGAAAAATCAAAACGTTTTGGTCCAATTTCATCAGACTTTCACACGCTGACAGAACGTCGCTTTTAGGATGCCTTTTCCCACGTAAGTTTAAGCTCTGGTCCATACCGTATAATTCCGGTTGTAAGCCCTTCTATTTGTAAACACCAACTTTATCCCAGTTGCAGGCCCTCCCGGCTAAGCCCCCATCACCCCGGCTATGGGCCGATCTGTGTATACCCTTATTGCGTTCGTCAGAACGCATCCTAATTTGGTGTTCCTGTGGTACAAAGGCAGTATTTTTGGGGGTTGGGAGGAAAGAGGAGTCTTTTCAAATTTAAAGGTGCAGTCAATCTACTTAATCTAAATATATTAGACAAGCCTGCGAAAATCTTATGACACAAGGGCGCAAATGATATCACAGAGAGGTTTTTAAAATCATCAAAATTCCGACCTGAAGTTGATGGCCCTTGTTAATTCAAATCTTACTTGTAGTAAATGTTGTTAGCGCTGCCTTTCATGTCAAAAACGTGGCCAGGAATCATGTAAATTCCAGTTTTCTCCAGCGCCTGCCAAAACTCGTCTGGTGGCATTTCCTTGGCCTAAATAACAATGACAAAACAAACAACTCAGTAAACTAAAAAAAATCTACACATTACTTTTGTCTACCTAAAATCCTTTCACTTCGCTCACCAAACAGACCACATACATACTTTCCTTGTGAGGGAAATAGCTGTCTTTCAAAGAATCCCTCGATGAAGCCTTGACTGGGAGCTGGTACTAGATCAATACGACATATGGAATTTAGCAATGCAATATGGGAAGTTGAGAAAGTGAAGTTTTAATTTTCGCGGGACATTATCAGCAGCCTGAATAAGATGGGAGCCTATAGCGTCCTTTTCACTTTTTCTAACCAAAGAACGCCTTTTATGAAAACTGACACGACGAGAAACGGGTTGGCATTCTTCTAATATGAGGTCCATCCACGAGAACCTTGGCTTCTGGATCGCACGTTGTGGATTCCGGATTTTATGCTGTTGATCCCGGATGGTAGGTACTGGATTCAGTATTCCTTGTCCGTGAAACATGGATTCCAGATTCCAATCGTTAGCGAGATTCCGGGCTTCATATATAGAGCAGGCTCCAGCTGTTCAAAAGCTGGATAACGCTGTCCACCGGATAAATCT